GAGGATCTGGTACATGGTGACTTGTCCACAACGCTGTCCCCAGCTCCTGCACTGACTCTGAGTGTGTTTTCCATGGACAGCCCTTGTGTCTCTTCTCTTTTCTCTGGAAATTCGCCTTAGGCTACCAGAGTCACTTGTCCACGTGAACAGAGAACCAGAACATTGTTAGGAATATAGCCTCTAATCTCACCCTCATTTCCACCCATTCTCCCGTGGGAGCTCTTGCCTGGGGGCAGGGCGACTCTGTGTAACCCGTGCTCCACAGCGTCCCCGAACAATAGGCTGAAGCCAGCCTCAGTGGAACTTTTGTCTGGAACCACACCTTGCTTGGTTTCTTCCCTTTCCCTGTCCTGTTCCTCTCAGTTTCTCTGGGGCATCCTTCTCTGATAAATCACTCACACCCAAATCCTTGTCTTAGGGTCTGCGTCTGCAGAACCTGACCTGAGACATACATGAATCTTGATAGATTAGCTTCCTCTGTGGACAGTTTGTGTTATTTGAGAATCCTATACCCAGCTGTGGGGCAAAGACTGGGGGAAATAGAAGGGCTGGACTTCCAGTTATGGAGAAATTTAGACAATAGTGCTTCATGGTTGTGAGTAGGGGCTTGAGTGCCATATAGACCTGTCAATGACATGCTTTCAGTGGCCTTGGGCAGTTTGCTTAACCTCGCTGGGCCTGAGTTTTCTTATCTGCCAAGTAGTGACGATGGTAATAGCTAGTCCGTGGGTTGGTTATGAGGATAAAGAAAGAAGATGTGTGTAAAGTGCTTAGCACAGTGTCTGGCACATGGCAAGTACACCAGGCTATGATTATTATTTAGCTTGAGCTCCATCTCAAATATGTAATCAGGACGTTAGCCTTATCAGCCACGCTGGTGTGGCCAGGTTTCATTTCTAGCTGGAAAATGTGTAATTAGGAGGGAGCATTCCCTTTCTTCCTCAGGAAAAGGGAAACTATTTAAGCAGTGCTTTCTAATGATTGGTCTGGTACCAACAGCGTGTGGTAAGATTGATGGATGCCTGGAGAGTACTGTTTGTTAAATATTTTAAATATCGCCCTTGTCTAGGGATTTCCTGATGAGTCAAGTTGGGCAGATCGTTCGCCTTTGATTTGACATGTTCTTCAGAGAGTAGGAAGAAAACACGGAACAGATTGTAGATGGAAACTAACCTGTATCTAGAAACTTCTATGGGCCAGTCATTATCTCATTTGATCCTCCAAATCCTACAAGGTCGGGAATTTTATTCTCATTTCCCAGTTGGAGAGACGAAAATCTGTTAAAATAATTTATGCAGCATCAAGTGACCATGTCACTGGGCCCAAGGGAAGCTGTCCAGTATCAAGGGGTTACCTCGGCTGTCAGGGGGTGGGGCAGAATTGCAACATGAGTCTGTTTTCCCCAGAGTTCTTGTTTATTCTGGCACCAAGAGTTCACCAAAGACACTGAAATTCTGCAGTAAAATTCTGTAGAACACTGGGCAGTGAGAATGTAATAAAAATCACGGGAGCTTTTAAAGTAACAGTTGGAATTGAGCATCTCTAAGTCCCTAGAAGTGCAGGGAATTTGTGCTTGTAGAAAACACCTTCTAGGCTCAATTGCAGCACTTCCAGAAGATTCTAAGGACCTCTCCTCCACGTCTGTGCCACCAGAGTTAGGTTCTCTTTATTTAATGGCCCGTTCATAGGAGCAGCGAGTGTCCATTTTGTTGTTGGTTGGTGGCAGTGAGACAGCATGCTGTTCTGGTAGGAACCCAAATCAAACACACTCGGGTTCAGATTCTGACTCAGCCGATTAATAGCGATGTCCTCCTGGGCCAGGTGCATAACCTCTCTGTTTCCTTAGTGGCAGAATGTACTTGACGGTTTCATATCGTAGGTGCTCAGCAACGCTTTGTCCCCTTCTTAGTTGACGCCTCTCTGCTTTGTTGCCTGGTGAAGAAACCTTTGGAGATTCTGTTCAGGGATGGCCTTTCGTGGTCCTCCCCAAACCAAGTTAGCTGATTTTCTGTTTTTCTGCTGTCTCAGCGGAAAACTGTGTGAATACTTTGATGATGGCACTTGCCACATTGTGTCATCACAATCTGTTTAAAAATCTGTGTCTGCCAGAATGCCTTGGGCTGCAAGTAACAAATAATCACATTCAAACTGGCTTATTCAATGGGGAAATTAACATGTCAAGGAGCAAAAAGCCTACAGGGGCTAGACTCCATCTCTGAGATTGAGTGGTGCCATCAAAGGGGAGAGAGGAGGTGGGGGTTTTAAAACATGGATGGGATGTTACATGTTGCCTGGCCCAGGCTACTCAGCTTCTCTTTCTGGAGCTTGCAACGTTTGGAAACCCTGAGAGTCGACTGCTATAGTGTCTCTGAGATTGAGACCAACCCACCCCTCCTTTGGTGATTGGCTGTAGAGCCTTCTGATTTTGACCTCCTCATATCTCCTCTGTTGCTTCTTTTGCTCTGGGTGAGGGAGGGTCCATGTTTGGACAGCCTCACACCAGATCAGGAAGTAAAATAAACCAATGCACGAAATATATCATAATTTATGCAAACCTCCAGGTTCCAGCAACCTGGGAGGACGCTTAGAAGCAGAAACTGTCGAGAGGGGTGAGTGCAATCAGAAATCTTTTGGGGAGATTGTGGTAGTATTCAGGATCCGCAAACAGTCTCCAGACAGCCCTGGGCATTTGGCCCCCAGCGTGGGCGTGGAAATGCACGCGGAGGGTGGCTCTGGGGGACCCTGCACAAGCAAGGCCACCACGTTCTTCTCATACCCAGTGCCTTGCAGCCCCATCTGTTACCAAAACGAAAGCTGCTCGAAAGCCGTCTCTCCATGACTAAATGAGCAGCACTTTTCTGAATAAAAGGCACTTTGGTATTTAACATGCCAAACGCGGTGGCTTACTGAGCAGACTGCCAGGCAGACCAGACCGTCTTTAGCTTCCTCGGCTGCCAGTCCGCTGGATGCCAGGGCCCAAAAGGACACCGACACAGCCACTTCCCACCCCCCAGATTTCAGTTTTCCACCCCCAAAGAAAACAGCAATTGGCTTCCACGTGACACAGTGTTTCTTTCTGTGGAGGGTTTTGGTCCCAGCTGTCTTTGGCTGTCCTGGTGTGGCAGCTGGACCTGCTGGTGAAGGAGGAAGCCCGTGGGGCTGAGCCTTCTGACCTGGGGCGTCCCTGTCCCAGCAGCACGGCTTTGGTCCCGCCGTGTGGAGCCCGCTTGTGGATGGGTGCTCAACAGACCTTCTTGGGGTGAGCAGAGCCTCTAGGCAGTGATTCTGGGTCCGCTTTGGGGGATCTGATGGAATCTTTGGTTCTTCTCGCCAGAGAAACATGACACAGACTCACAATGCCCCTGGCGTCTGGGGCAAAAACTCCTATATTAGGGCCCTGTTGAGTCTGCTCTTTCATTTTAGGGGCCCCTGTTTGGTCCACTTTAGGATGGCATCCCTGGTGCCAGTGTCTGGGCAACTCCAGCATGGAGAGTGGTGGTGAGACACAGTGATGGGGCTCGTGTGCCGGGGATCCCCTGTAGGATATTGACAGCTCGGGTGACGAGGACAAGATTCCGAGATTCCCTGGTCCAGAGACTGGGACGGGCGGGGCACAGCAGGGCTGGAGCAGGAGGAGATGGGGCGGGAAGAGAGAGAATTTGGGGAGGAGGAAGAAGGGGATGGAGGATGGGAACCACGAGGGGGAGGGTTGGGGCAGGTGGGAGGCGAGGGGCAGAGGGAGCGGGGCCCTGACTGGGGGCATTCAGGACAGGGTGACACGTGAGTGACACCCGGTGACTTAAGAGAGAAGTAGTTGGCGGCCTGAAAGGGAGGAAGACAGAAAGCAGGGCTTTTCAATATGAGCATTCATGTCGCGGTGACAGCAGTCATTTATCATGCCCTGAATGGGAGCGCAGGGCCGGGCGCTGCCACCAAAGGCCTCTGGTTAAAGTTTTACCTGAGTGTGAAAGGGGCCGGACCGCCAAGCAGCACAGCGCTTCCTTCCGAGGCTGCAGGGGCGGCCCGCAGGGGCCCATCTGTTGGGATCAGAAGGACTCTGGTACCAGGGGAGGGGAGCCCGGGGCAGGATGCTTCTAGGTGCAGGGACCCCTCCAGGCATCCCAGGCCAGTGGGGAAGGGGTCTGCCTCATGCAGGGTTCTGGAAAAGTCTGCTCCAGCCACTGGATTCGGAGTCTGTCCCCAAATCAATCTTGAGAGCTTGCCGGGGAGGGAGCTTGAGATAGGGCAAATGAGGGCACATTTTGTCAAGTGGTGTCATTGGCATTCAGCTCAAATTTTTAAAAATATTATTTAGTACTTACCATGTGTAAGGCACTGTATGTGTCTCTCCATCCATCCATCTATCTATATATCTATCTCGGGATGGCTGTCCTTGTTGCCTGGGAACTTAGGGGTTTCCTGGGATTCAAGAGCTAAATCTAGGCCAGTCCTGGGCCACACAGGGCAGCTGGCCACCCTGATGTGAATTCATTTAATCTTGAGACAACTCTTGGAACGAGGCCCTGCCATTTGCCCCCACTTAGAAATGAGGAAACAGGCACCAAGAATAAAGTCATATGCTGGAGGTCACAACGTTAGTGAGCAGGACAGCCTGGGTGTGAAGCCACGTGGTCTGATTTCGAAGTCTGAACTCCCAAGCCTCCACTTTGCAGCCTGGGAACCTGGAGGAAGCACCAGTGTGGTGAGAAGAGTTTTTGAACCAAGAACCGGGATGATGAGGTCCGATGCGTTCGTTGGTCTTTAGGACCCAGTGTTTGAGGTGGGGCCTGTTCTCAACCTCTCAGTCTCCCCGGTCCACAGAGGGGCCAGCAATGGAGGAGCTGGTCTGTCCTCAAGATGCACAGGACATGAAATCTCTCTCCCGTGGGCTGTGCTGATGGAGCCTTTTAGTGCAAACATTTTCTGGACACCAGTACGTGGGCCAAGTTCCCAGTGATGGGAAAACAAGAGGAGGGTGTGTGTGTGTGTGTGTGTGTGTGTGTGTGTAGAGGAGGGGGCTGTGAAGGCCTCTCATTTCTGGCAGGGGGACAGCCCAGCTAGGAGCATGGAACCATTAGCAGGGCCTTTGCTGGTCCTTCCCTTCCCGGACACTGAGGCCTGGCTGGCTCGGGCTTCTGTCCCAAGCTGTGACTTGTCTTTTGGGATCCCATCTCAGCTCCTGCTGGAAGCCCTGCCTCTTTGGCCCATTCCAGTCCCAGCCCGGCCCCCTGCCCCCTCTTCACCATAGCGGGACCTTGCTGGGTTTGGTGACCACATTTGGAGACTTGAGGAGCCGCACTGTGCCTTCCCAGAGCTGGCTGATGGCATACGAGTGATGGGAACACAGAGTGGCAGAGAGATGGGCCACCGGCAGGAAATGTGAACCTCCTCAAGGACCAGGTGATAGGGATTCCGAGAAGCAGTTGACGAAGGAGGCTGGAGGGGGAGGGGTCAGGCGGGACCCTGGGGCCAGCGCTGTTACCACTTCTCTTTCCCGTAGAGCCACCCACCCAGCACATGCTAAACACATCACCACTGTGCGCCCACCCTGGGTTAGGCTCGGGGAATAGAGGAGAAACTATGGCATGGCGCCGGCTTTGTGGGACAAGGCTCAAGTCGGTTACACATTGTGGTCTGTACCATAAAGTGGATAAACGGATCCTGAGTTAGGGAATGACAGTGGCTCTGAGAAGGCCTCTTTGGGGAGGTGACATGAGAGTGGAGCCCGAAGGACGGACAGGGGCCTCCAGGGAAGAGCTGGGGCAGTGTCTAGACGAAGGGACCAGCACCTGCAAAGCCCTAGAGTTTGCAGTGTTTGAAGAACGAAAAGCCAAAGACGGCTCTTGAGGAAAGAGAGAGTGAGCAGCCTGTGGCCTGAGAAGGAAGTGCAGGTGGATTCCATTGCTTTAGGGCCCCGAACGCCATGGTGGGTGAATGGCTGGATTGTTTTACTAGGACAAGGCCTGTGAGTCTGTTAGTAAGTACAGTACAGTGATAGGATAAAACAGAACGTGCCCAATAAACGCGTGTTGGAGAATGAGCACGGGCATTGCAGGGGGAGCCGGGTCAGAGCTGGGGGGTCGTGGGATGTAAATATTGCTGGTCTTATCTGGGGACTGCAGAGAGGCAGCCCCTGCACCCACTCGGTCCACTTGGAGCTGCTGCTGCCACCCTCCCCACCCTCCCCTGGTCCCTGTGGCTTGTCGTAAGTGCCTGGGAGGCACTGAACAGGGGGCCTGCATTTGTGTCCCGCACAGGGGCCGTTCTGTGAACAGAGTCCCTCTCGGTTTTTCATGTCATTAATTGGTGATCTTCAGACTCTGAAATAGCATTTTCCCTCTCCCATCCCTTATTTCATTATCCTCAGTTCAGTACACATCAGTGCCGCACGAGGCAGCCTGCTAGGATATATTAGGAATTATTTAAATGAGATGGGGATGTATGGGTAGTTAAAAACGCAGTCTTCTATTCTGCCCTAATTATGTATCAAATTACGTTACAATTATTCCCAAATATAAACTTGCTGAGGACCTGAAAAGGGGAGGTTCTGGGAGCATCAGGAGCAAAATGAAACCAGGCATAGTGGGCACACTGGTCCTAAATGTGTCCTGAAGCCCAGGTAGCGTGTGTGTGTGTGTGTGTGTGTGTGTGTGTGTGTGTGTCTGTCTATGTGTCATCAGCTCCACTGCTGTGCCATGTCCACCTTAGGTGTTGCTGAGCCAACAGGAAGAAGTCCTGTCTGGCCTCTGCACCAACTCATACCCGAAGGCTCCCATTCCCCAGCTGTGTGATCTGAACCGTGTCTTGTAACCTCCTTGAGCCTCAGTCTCCTCCTCTGTAAAGTGGGCGTGGCATTAGCAGTTTCTCCTACAGTGCCCGGCACATAGGAAGCTCTTGGAACTTGGGATGAGCCACCACTGTCACTGCTGTTAGCTGACCCTTTGGGTTTGTCACCATCATCAGATTCTCTAAGTGGTGGGGTCCTCCAAGGCTTCCCTCCCCCTGTGCCTCTCACTTCCTTTGCTCAGCTGGTCTGGCCTGGGGTGGCTTCAGCCTCTGGCCTTCCCTGCAAGATGCGACACATGCTCAGGGAGCACCCATTCTACGTGGACACTTTGCAAACGCTGCTTATGCACAGTGTCCACCCAGGCCTGGGAGGAGTGGGTGGGCCTGTCCAAGATGCTTCAGCCAAACAGTGGCAGAGCAGGATTCACACCCAGGTCTGCTTCCGAGCCCACATGCTCCACGGGGTGAGAGCGAGCCCCCTGGTGCCCGGGGTGGTGAAAACTCAGGTTTTTCTCTGAGTTGTTTTCATCCATTTGTTTTGTGTTGTTAAGCAGCTTCCTCTGTAGCTCTTGGGAAGGGTCCTGATTAATCTTTATTAATAACTTATTAATAATTATTAACCATCATGAGGCTACTGATGTTGCAGGGCTCTGAGTTTGGCTGGTTCCATTCCTCTTCTCACACGCCTGCTGTCTGCATGCCGGGCCGGGGATGGGGGAAGGGGCTGTTGCTTCCTCCTGCCTGGCTATCAGGTGGCAGGGGGGTTGCCCAGGGCTCTCAAGGCATGTTCAGACAAGACCTAACACACACTGGGACCTTGTTATGGGCTGGATTGTACCTCCCCAAAGATGTTGAAATCAGTCCTGAACCCAAGTATCTGTGACTGTGACCTTATTTGGAAATAGAGTTCTTGCAAATAATAAATTAAAATTATTTTCATTAGTCATTACAGTGGGCCCTAATCCAACATGGCTGATGTCCTTATAAAAGGGGAATTTGGGCACAGAGATAGAGACACAGGGAGAACACCATGTGAAGCTGAAGTCGGAGATCGGAGTGATGCATCTACAAGCCAAGGAATGCCGAAGAAGATTGCCAACAAAGCAGAAGCTAGGCAGAGGCATGGGAGGGATCCTCCCTCTCCACCCTCAGAGGGGATCAACTCTGCTGACACCTAGGTCACAATTTTCTGTCATCCAGAACTGTGAGATAATGCATTTTTGTTGCTCAGCCACTCAGTGTGCGCTGCTTTGTTACGGCAGCCCTAGGAACAGACACAGAACTCAATGGTGGACGGAGGCAGGGCAGAGGGAGTGGAGAAGTACCAGGTGGTGACCAGGAGCGTGGCTCTGCCAGTGTCCAGGGGATGGTGGCAGGCCTGGTCTGGGCTATGGCGGCAGCCACCTTTGTTGATGGGTGAATGGGGTCTTGTGGCAGCCAGAGTCCCTAAGCAGAGACGACATGCCTTCCCAGGCATGGGTTATCTTTGGGCCTGAAGGGAGAAGGAGCAGACTCTAGTCTTAGGGGGAGGAACTGATAAGACCTGGGTGGTGTGATGGGCTTCAGAGCAGGGACCTCTGGGGCTCACCAGTATTCATCTCTTCTGCTCATGTTCCACTGGCAAGAATTAGTCACACCACCCTGCTTAGGTTCAGGGGTCCCTGGGAATGAGCCTAGCTTTGTTCCCAGGGCCCCTTGCATCTGACAAGTTCTTGCTGATGGGCTGTAAGGAGAAGAGGTGGGAGCTGCCCCTGGGTCCCCAGGTGGTTAAGAGGGAGCGTGCCCTCTCCCACCTCTCCCTTCCCCTGTGCTGGCTGCGTAGACGGGACTTGGGAGATGGGGCCTGGACCCAAAAGGCACCTGGGTCTTGGAGTCCCTGCGTGGGGCTAACTGCCCTGGAGAGCTGCCCAGCCAGCGATAGCCCTGGGATTCTGTTGTTGAAAGAAAGATAAAGGTCATTGTGTTAAACCACTGACATTCTGGGATTGTCACAGCAGTTTGGAGAGAAAGGAGTGGGGAAAGCTGGGTTGGGCTCCAGGCCTTGACGCCTCCTGTCTTTGTGGTGTTAGGCAACCTCACGGAGCACAGCCACCTCAATTTAAAAGCATGCAGGGTCTTTGGGGGGCTATATAAGCCACGTGGAGCAGTCCAGCCCAGTGTGCGGTGCTTGGCAGATAGGTCATGCTTGCACACTTTTATGTCTCTTCTCCTTTTGGGTCCCACTCCCCAACCCCAGAAGTGAGATCACCTAGAGTGACCTCCTCTTTCTTAAAGAAGAAACCTCTTTCTAATGAGATCTGTCCTCTAAGCACCTCCTGGATTCCCCAAGAGAAGCTGGGGTCCCCACGTCTGACCTTGGAGCCTCTTTGATTTGTAAGATTTCTTATTTCCATTTTAAAGGAAGCATTTCTAATTAAGGTAACCAAAACCCACATGCTATTTTTGGATGCAACTTCCTTTTTGTTGTTGTTGTTGTTGTTAAGACAGTTTGTGCTAATTAGATGTAAAAATCATTCCTGGGAAAATTATATAATTGACATGCAATTTACAAAACAGGCCTTTGCTATTATTTGTACTGCTGCTTTGCAGTGAAATTAGTACACAGCATGAACACTGGACCTGGGTCAGTGTGCTCCAAGGGACGGCGGCCCAGTGATTCCAGATCTCAGGTGTGGCTGTCCAGGTGATACACCAGGCCCTCATCATGGAGGCCCATCCTCCCCACAGACAGCCCCGGCAGTGCCAGCTGACATCGGCCAGGCCCTACTCGCTCTTGCAGTGTCAGGACGGTTCTCACATGGCTTTCTAGTGTCTCAGCTCTGATGTGGTTCACAAGTGCCCAGGTATGAGGAAAGCCTCTTGGGGGGTGCTTTAGGGAAAAGGGAAGGAGGTGTCAGTGGTTCACAGAGACCTCTGTCCTGTGGGGTGTTTTGATTAGTGACTTAGATCAGGGTTCTAGCAAAGGTCGGTCGCACTGGTAGATGCCATGAAACTGGAAAAGATAGTCAGCATGTTGGAAGGCAAGGTTAAGATCTGACACTGTCCAGGCCCAGGCATGGTGCCTCATGTCTGTAATCCCAGCACTTTGGGAGGCTAAGAGGGGAGAATTGCTTGAGGCCAGGAGTTTGAGACCAGCCTGGGTGAACTTACCAGACCCTGCCTCTAAAAAAAAAAAAAGAAGAAGAAAGAAGAATTAGCCTTGTGTGGTGGCGCATGACTGTAGTCCCAGCTACTTGGGAGGCTGAGGCAGGAGGATGGCTTGAGCCCAGGAGTTTGAGACTGCAGTGAGCTACGATGACACCACTGTACTCCAGGCTGGCTGACAGAGCTCTGCCCTGTCTCAAAAACAAACAAAAGAACCACCTCAAAACAGGTGAAAAAAAATCTGACAATCTCTAGACAGGTTAGAGCTGTATTCAAACCTAAGAGGCGAAAAATCTAACAGTTGCATTTTTTAAAAAATCACATATAGCGGGGAAAGATGAGACTTAGCAACAGTATCCAATCAGGAGACAGAAACCACGCCAGGTATTTTAACAGAAAGAATTTTGTGTAAAGAACTGTCATCAGAAAACCGAAAAGGCAAAAAGTGACCACTGAAGGAATCGAGTGGGGAGCGACTGCAGGAAGCAGTCATCTGGGGCAGAGGGAATGAAAGGAAGAGGTTGGGATTCTTAAAAGTTAGGAGCTTGGAGGAGGAGCCCCAAGGAGCTGGGACTCGGACCTCTGAGGAGGAAATGCCAGCTGGCAAGTGCTGGTGTCCCTGAGGAGAGGTGATGATCCTGGTTCTGCCAGTGTTGAAAAAAAACTGGAAACTGGACTCAGTTTCTGTTGCTGGGATGATATGCTACTGCCGAAGTGAAGTAGCATGCTGGGGCAATGCTGCCTGGAACAAGAACTAAAACAGGAACAGAGAGGAAACATAAAAGCAGCGTGCCTCTTCCTGCTCCAGGCTTCACATCTCCCTCCCCAGCCCCCTATGGGCAAAGCCTAACATGAAGCCTTCTGGCCAAGAAGAAATGTGGCGTACAGAGTCCCAGTTCCAGCACCAAAAGGCAGAGTACAGAAGGGTGGGTTAATAACTGATGCATCATCAGTCAATAAAACTGTAAAGTAGCTATAGGCTGCATTATTAGAAGTATAGAGCTTTATTCGTGGGAGGCGATAGTTACCTTTTACCTTGAACTGGTCAGATCTATTGCGTTCAGGTGTGTGTACTATAATTTAAACAGGATTTAGAGCCCCTGGAGCCCACCTGGAGAAGGTAGTTTCACCTGGGGAGAAGATTCAGAACCACAATACTTCAGGAGGAACTAGAATGAACAGAGGAAGTGAGTGCCACCTTCACACGACTGAGGCTGCAGGTGAGAGACAGATCCAGCATGGCCTGGATGGTTCCAGGTGCGTGACAATAGGGGGTGGTTCCAGAAAGGTGGGTCCCAGGTTGGAATAAGAAGGCTTTGTTTTCCTTAATAAAGAAAAATAAAACATTTCTTTCTGCTGATTGGTAGAAGTGATACCTGCTTATGGTAGAGAACTTGGAACATCCAGACTGCTGAGATGTCAGGTGACATGCGGGGAGAGACACATTACCTCTCAGAGTCCCAGGTGAGATGAAATGAACTGGACCCTCTGTTCCCTAAGTACAGGGCACTCAGTGCGCTTGCCAGGAGTTCCGTGCATTTCATGGTGGTTTATGTGCCCCAGGCTTCCCCCACTTGTTGGCCCCCTGCCCACATTGCCCTGAGACAGAGCTAGGCCTGGCATCGGTTTCCCCCTTGGGCCAGGCCCTCAAGGACTCAGCTTCTAGCCCACGTGCTTATCAAGGTATTTCTCCCAAACTGGCTTTTTCCCTTAGAGGCATTTTGGCACCAGCTCTTAAGATAATTACATTTTCCCACCTTATTGCATACAGAAAAGTTTAAAGAAGCAAATAAAAATCATTTGTAATTACACATCCCAAGGATGACCACAGTGAACATTTTGGCCTTTTTAAAAATGCACAAATATATTCATTTTTAAGATAATTGGGATCATAGTGAACATACCATTTTGTATCTTGCATTTCTCCTCCCCCCCTCCCCACGCTTAACACATGAACATTTTCCAAAGGCCAATATATGTTTTAAAAATATCTTTTTACAATAGCGGCCTGATATTTAGTTCTTTGGCTATACCATAAGTTGTCATGGGATATTTTGCTTATAACTGATTTCTTTTGTTTGTTTTTTGTTTTCGCCTTCCTGATCAGTTTTCTCACTGATACCTTTGTATATAAATCTTTGTGCACTTCTCTGATAATTCTCTGATAGAATCTCAAAGAAGAAAGACAGGTTCATCTGTTATACTAAAAACACTTTTTATTGTGTAAAAATTTAGAATATACACAAACGAGAATAGTATAATGGACCCCTCCGTATGATGAGCCAGCTTCAACTGTTACTAGCATTCTGACAATCATGTGTTAGCTAGCCCCTTCACACCCTCATTTTTTTGTTGGAATATGTTAAAACAAGTCCCAGATGTTGTATCATTTCCCCTGTGAAAGTTGCTTTACTTTTTCAAATAGGTAAAATAACGTATTAAAAACACAACCAGGATGCCATTAGCACGCCTACAAAAATGAACAGTAATTCCTAAATATCATCTAATACATGGCCATGTTCAATTCTCTCCAGTTATCTCAGAAAATGTCTTCTTAGAACCAACTTGATCCAAACAAGAGTCCACGCTTTGCATTTGGCTGATATGTCTTACAAATCTCTTAGTCTATGCCGCTTTTCCCTACCTTTTGAAACCAAGTTCTTATTGAAGAATCTAGCATAAAGACTTTTTTGCAGTTCTCGATGCATATTAGAAAGCCGATTTCCAATATGCGCTAACAATCTGCCCCTCTGCCAGCAACGTGAGAGAGTGCACATCTCGTCATCCTCAGCATCGAATATCGCTACAATTTTTAAAAATCAATCTGATAGGTGAATGATGGCATCTTATTGCCACGTTAACTTGCATTTCTATGATTGTAAGTGTGATTGAACATTTTCCCCATATGCATATTAGCTGTTTGTATTTCTTCTTTTGTGAATTATCTGCTCCGACCTTTGCCCCTTTTAAGAAGTGGTATTGATTATCTTGCTCGAAGTTTATAACAGAGAAATTTAAAATTTTTATGTAGTCACATTCATTATCTTTTCCTTTGTGAGTGCTTCCATTGTTTTTATGCTTAGAAAATCCTTTCTTCACTCTCAAATATCATTCACCCAGATTTTTTTCTAGTTTTCTTGTTTGATTTTTGCTGAGTTTTAAAATTCATGTGGGATCGCACATGGTTAGAGCATTGATCTAGTATCACAGCTTGAGTAATTTTTCATTTCTTCACTAGATTATGGTGTGTTTTTATTATGCCCTAATTACATATATGTATATGTATGTGTATCTATGAGATATATATGTATACACGGGTTGGTCTGTTCAAGAAGAATTTGTGCAGTCACTGGTTTCCTGGGGGCCTCACTGAGTGGTAGTGAGTGCTCCACTGTGGGAGGCATGTAAGCAGGGCCTGGTCGGCCACCAGAGCAGGCTGGGACCATCTGCCCTTGGCATTCTGGGGGTTTTGCATTTCCCTGCCTGGATGGCCTCTGCAGTACCTGTCATCTCCATCTTCTTCTCTTCCTGCCTCCAGCATGGACTTGCGGACCCCTCTGCTTGTCAGTGTTGCTGGTGGGGAAGTGGAGCCTGCGCCTCCCGCAGGGCCTTGTGGCTGGGCTGTGTGATCACACCTCGGACCCATGCAGGAACTGAGATCTGGGCGGGGCTCTTTCCACTTTTCCAGATCTTCTTTGTCCTCCTAGCATTTCCCCCAAGTTACAATTACACTGTCGTTTGCCTCCCCACCAGACCGTACGCCCCAAGGAGAGAGGCCTTGTGTTCCCATGGCTGGCTGGCCCACGGCGGCACCTAGGAGTTAAGAGAAAGAATGGGCAAATGGTCCTTTGGCCCTGGTGGGTGAGGGCTACAGTGACTCACAATCGGAGTAAAAACCAGAGACTGTCATCTGACCAGAACAAATGCTCTTTGGGGAACAAAGGGACAGACTATCTGAAATTAAGGGACATCCCCGAAAATCCAGAACAGCTGGTGGCCGCAGAGAGGGCTGAGCTTCCTGAATCCCAGGTCTGTATGGAGCCGTGCAAGTCACCCATTTTGACCCCGAGCTGACATCTGACCTCTAGAGCCGATTATTCCTCCTCTCCAAGAGCATATTCCCGACGAAATGGGGTCGGGAGACATTTGCATCCAAACCACCAAGCTCTTTAAATGCTGGGGCTTGGAGGCCCGATGGGTTTATTAGATTATCATTGCGGAAGTTAATAAAGAATTAATTTCTCTTCATGTGACATCCAAAGGCAGTTATTTCAGGAGCCTGTCCATTTACACAAAGCCAAGTATTTGTCAAGTGTCAGAGGCAATTCCCAGGTCCCAGCCCCCCCTCAATAATTCTGGATTAGGGACAGCCTGAAATGACATTACACAAATTTTCTTTCAAGATGCATTGAGCTCTGGGGACCACTCAGGAATTTCAGGTTCCTGAAGGTTATACTGTCAGCAAAAGGGCTAGGGAGGGGGTGGCTGGCGCAACTGCAGCTCTCCAGCTGGGCCAGCTCTGGAGGGGGGACGCTTAGGCAGGGAGGGGAGGAAGCCATGGACGGCCATTAGTCTGTGGGGCCCTCTTGCCTCCTGCAAACAACTTACTGCCATTTGTATCGCAAACCCCGTGCCCAGCTTGATGGCTTTTTCTTGTTCTCTGCTCAGGCTCAGGGAGGGGCCGTGGCCTGACTGGGACTGCAGGACTGGCCCATGTCACCTTGTGGCAATATATTAGGGGAGGTCAAGGCACCATCAATACCTGTCTTGGAGTTAAGTGCTGGGAAGTGGAGCCACTGCAAGGGCAGACACTACTAGAGCCCAAATGTGAGTCGCGGCCAGGCATCCTGCAGAGCCAAGAAGAAAAGTCCCTGGGAGGGGGGCTGTGCCTGGGCCAAGCCGGGCCCCCTGGAGCAGCCCCAGCAGGGTGGTGTGGAGCAGCTCAGTCCTCTTGCCAGAGCTCCAGACATGGGCACTTGGCCACCTCCTAGTCGCCTCCCCGTGAATGTCCACCAGGCCCCTCAGACTCTGCATGTCCCCATGTCCCGAACTCTGCAGCTCTGAATCGTCTCCCCGACATGCCTGCTGCTCCAGCCAGGTGCAGCTACTTCTTCTTTTTTTTTTTTTCATAAAGCCAAATATTTAATTTTTTTCCATCATATTATGAGGGTACAAATGTTAAGGTTATGTATATTGCCCTTGCCCCCTTCCCCCGGAGTCAGAGCTTCAAGTGTGTCCATCCCCCAGTTGGTGTGTATCGCACTCATTATGTATGTATATACCCATCCCCTCCCCCCACCTGCCCGACACCTGATAGATGTTATTCCTATTCACCTCCTTGGCTGGTTATTTTGGGCAGTGTGCAACCTGGACAATCACACATGGCAGCGCTGCCCCTTTTCTCTGAGATCCTGCGGCTTCCTGTGCTTAACTGTGGGAGTCGTGTGTGTATTCGTTTCCTGTTGCTGCTGTAATAAATTAATACCATAAACTGCAGTTCTGGAGGTCAGAAGTTTGAAATGCATCTCACTGGGCTAAAATCAAGGTGTTGGCAGGGATGCCTGCCCTCTGGAGGAATGAGGGGAAAGTCTGTTTCCTGGCCTTTTCCAGCTTTTAGAGGAGCCTGCATTCCTTGGCTCATGGTGCCTCCCTCTATCTTCGAAGCCAGTGGTGTAGCATCTTCATCTTTCTAACTCCGTCTGCTGCTTCCATCACATCTCTTTCTCTGACTCTGTCTCTCTCTTGCCTCCCTCTTTCCCTTATAAAGACCCTTGTGATTATATCGGGCCAACTCGGATAATCCAGGCTGATCTCCCCATCTCGAGATTGTTAATTTATTCATACCTGTAAAGTGCTTTATGCTATGTGCAGTAACGTATTCACTGGTTCTGGGGATGAGGCCATGGACATCTTTGGGGCCATTAGTTTGCCTACCACATCACATGATTTTATTGCATTGAAATTGTTTCCTCCGCTAACTGTAAAATCCCTGAGAGCAAGATTACTGTTCTGTTCAGTGCTCTCTCCAGGACCCAGCACAAGTCTGGCATAGAATAAGTGTTCAACAAATAAATGTTTGTTGATTGAATGCATGAGGGCATGGGTGCACAGGACCTCCCTGTCTCCTCAGGGAGACAGAGGCAGTAGGAGACACTTGTGCACAGCTTTCATGGTTCACACCAGTGGTTCTCAACTGGGGGCAATTTTGCCTCTTAAGCGGCAGATACATGGCAATGACTCGAGACATCTTTGGTTCCCAGAGGTGCTGCTCAACATCCTATAATACATGTGGGTATTAAAGACTCATGCAGTGCTGAGGCTGGGAAATGCTGGTTTCACCAGGACTGACTGGCTGGAACACACAGGGGGCAGCTGTGTGCTGGGGCTGGTGCTAGATGTCTCAGGATATCCCATTTCTTATTCCTTAGGTTGAGTTTTTCCAGCTCCACTTTGCAGATGAGAAAACTGACTCCTTGGAGTGCATGCAATTGCCCAGGTGTTACCAGCTGGTTACTGATGGGGTCAGGCTTTGAAACCAGGTCTCTGCGCCCCGTGCCGTGGGCAGACCAAAGAAGGACGTGAGTAGATGTGGTGCCTCCCTCCAAGCACTCTCGGCTCGCCTGGCTCTCCTCCTCCTGCTCTGATCGCCCCTTTTCTGCTTTCCTGATCATGATGCCGCTCTGGAACCCCTCCTCTCTGTGCTGCAGTTGTCCCCAGAGTCTGTACAATGTCCCCTTCTTTCTGCTCTCCCTCAATGGCCTCAATTGCCCTCCCTGGGTGACAGCCCTTGAACCTTTGCTTTTGCTCAAACCTCTCTCCTGAGCTCTGGTCCCACATTTTGTACCACCTTGTAGACCTACTTACTCTCCCTCTAAGCACGGCCAGCTCTGATCATGCCACCTCTCAAAAACCTTCAGTGGCACCCTGTGACCGTCACCTAAATCCAGCATTCAGGGACCTGCAAGGTTGAGCCTTGCTCTGGCCAAGCCTAAATACTCACTGCTCTCCAAACGCACTTTGCATCTCCTCCCTCTTTTGTCTTTGCCCAAACCCTTCTTTCCACCCTGAGCACCATCCTTCTCGTTTCTCACCTTTACTCTCCTGGTACCCTTGGGACTTGCAGCAAGCCCGTGGGTCAGTTTGTAGTTCTGGTAGAAGTAGGAGGTTGATTAAATAATTATTTTGTTTATCTACCCAGCTCACATTTACAGAACATGCCTACGTCACAGCACAGGGTGGATTTTGGACATATGGAGGTGGACGAGAAAGTTGCCTTAGTTCTCATATAGCTTATGGCCTTCAGGGAGACAGATGTGGGACAGCTAATTCTGCAATCCGTTATTTAGTTTCAGTTGTGGTCCGGGTGCTGAGGAGTTGTTTGGGGGTGGGGGAAGCTGCACAAGTCAAGTCAGCAAAGGTTCCCCAAGGAGGTGACATTTGGGCCCCAGACCAGCTGGTCATTGTCTGGACATGGATTCCACCCTGGAGTCCCAGGGGTGACCTGGGCTGCAGCTGGAGCTTTGAGTGCCTGGGGGGCTGCAGGAGGAGCCCCAGCAGTGGCTGAGAGTCGGTGTGAATCAGGGAGACCTCAGCCAGGCCCTGGGCTCTGCGGAGAGATCGCCCCGGCCTGTGGTTCCTGGCCCAGTTGCTCAAATGTCGTTAATCTGGCTTCCAGGAAAGGCACCAGCTGGGTGGGGGCTGGGGACAGCAAGGGTCAGACACCCAGAACAGGAGGAGGTGAGTGAGGACAGGGTCAGCTGTGTTGCAAAAGAGCCCAGAGAAGCCGGGATGGTTACGCCATTGTCGTGCCAGTCTCAGCTTGACTTCTTACCTGGAGTGGGACCTGGTTCTGCACCTTTGTAGCTGCTCACACTTCTGTTTCAGAGCACCCGCTGCAGTCTGTAACTATGCATTTGCTTGTGTGATTGATCAGTGCCCATCTCCCCTGCTATCTGTCAACTCACCAGCCCATCATTGTACCCCCAGAACCTTGCACTGGGCCTGGTGGGTGCTCAAAACCCATTTGCCAAATGAGTTGGGATCTCTGGAGCTCACCTCTCATGTGGCCAAAAAGGGGAGTGTTAAGGGTTCTTTTGCATCCCCCCAAATTCGTATGTTGAAGTCCTAGCCCCTAGTACCATATTTGGAATGTGACTGTATTTGGAAAAAGGGTCCTTACTGATATAATTGGTTAAGATGAGGTTAGACAGAAGTAGGCTGGGCCCCTAATCTAATATGACCGGTGTGCTTATAAAAAGGGAAAATTTGGACACATGCGCACACACGTACACGCACGTGCACGTACTCAGAACACCACGTGAAGATTGAAGCGATGCTGCCACAATCAAGGAGCTCCTGGGAGCCTGGAGAGGGGCCGGGAGCAGATCCTTCCCTGGCTGCTTCAGAGGGAGCTTGGTTCTGTGGGCATCTTGCCTTCTGGCCTCTAGAACTGTGAGCGAATAAGTATCTGTTGGTTAAGCCCCTCAGTTTGCGGCACTTCCTCAGCAGCCCTAGCAAGCTGATACAATGCCCCTTTGAACATCCCAAGGGGCTGTGGCTCTGCTTGGCGCAGGGTGGCACGGATGTGTTTGTGGGCTCACAGGTTGGTGGAGGCTGAGCCCCAGTTTTGGGGAAGCTGAGAGGTCTCTTTCCTTTGCCAGAGCTTCGGCCAGGCCTGGTGGCCCAGGCAGGGCAGGGCAGGGTGGGACTATTGGGCTGTCTTAGGCTACCATGCCCAGAGTATGGATTTGCAAATCAAAGGAAAGGGCCTATTCCAGGAAGGTCCCGGGGCCACATGAGGCCTGAGTGACAGCATCCTTTTCCAGCCCCTGTAGGCCTTGCTTAGATGGATTTCGGGGGTTGGTTTGGGGAGGTGGCCGGAAGGGAAGCTCAGTTAGCAGTCTGGAGCCAGGTGCATCTCAAAAGGGCCTGCCCTGGGCCCTTCATTTCCTGCAAGGTGGCTTTGAGCCCCCACAGACAGACATCCTGGACCAGGTTAACCTTTAACTAGGGAGCTCCAGTTCTCAGCTCCTGGGCCAAGGGCTCCTGCAGGCTGTGAGCAGGCCTGCTTTTCTACTCTTGTCTCCGGTGAACCAGAGTCCCTGATGAATTGCCCACACCCCCCCACCCTGAGCCCCGCCACCATGTTGAGTGCTGGTGTCCCGGCAAAGATGAATGGGCCCCACTAATGAGCTGGAGGCTGCGACGCTGTGAC